TATATTTTCATACCCAAAATTCTCAGGTTTTTAAGGTTCATAACTGTACTATGCTTTTAACACGATATTTATCTTTACAGGTCAAACTATAATGAAGTCGTGCGCCGCCTCCAACATGAAGAAAGTCTCCCTCGAGCTGGGAGGCAAGTCCCCACTCGTTATATTCGAAGACTGCGACCTCGACAAGGCTGTCAGAAATGTAAGTAGTACTAAACAAAATTATTCACATTACGGCTGGTGGAATAGATAAAATGCTAGAGTTAGTTAATATTTCTTGATGATTCGTTTTTAATATATGCTTGTCCCGGTTACACAGCTCAAATTATATTTATGCAGAATTTAATTATCATCCCCGGTCGTGGCTCGAAAGTAGTCGAGCTCCCTTGAACATGAAACTCATCTCGATTTTCTATCACCCAGGGTATGGCATCGGTATTCTTCAACAAGGGCGAGAATTGCATAGCAGCTGGCCGTCTATTCGTTGAGGAGACTATTCACGACGAGTTTGTCCGTCGTGTCGTGGCCGAGACCAAGAAGATGAGCATCGGCGACCCACTGCACAGAGGCACGGCGCACGGACCACAGAACCATAAGGCACATATGGACAAACTTCTTCAGGTAGGCATTATGGTGTTATTGGCTTTTCCACAATTAATTAACTATTTCCTTGATAAATTGACTACATACATTCGTCGTGAGTCGTTCCGGAGATTAGGGCGTATAGATTAGATACCTATTTTGTGATGTTATTATAACATTCGCAACTTTGTTCTCTCCAAAATACGAACTTAGCTATTTAGAATCTCATCGACGCACAAAAAATCTTGAATTAGTCCAAAAGTATTAAAGAAGAAACTTTGATTATAAAGCACACTTATTTCTGTACTACAACATGTATATTTCGTTCCCCACAGTTCGTCCAGCGTGGTGTGAAGGAAGGCGCGACGTTAGTACTGGGCGGCAACCGCGTGGACCGACCTGGATACTTCTTCGAACCGACAGTGTTCACTGACGTACAGGATGACATGTGGATCGCTAAGGAAGAGTCATTCGGACCTATCATGATCATCAGCAAGTTTAGTAGCAAGTGAGTATATTTTCATTCTTTTTACTATTCGTGGTTAAAGTTCTATTTGTAGACTGCACGGTTGGTGCGGTGGCTGGGCAACCGGCTGCCGTGCAACGTGTCGCGGGTTCGATTCCCGCACAAAACCACACTTTGTGTGATCCACAAATTGTTGTTTCGGGTCTGGATGTCGTGTGTATGTGAACTTGTATGTTTGTAAACGCACCCACGACACAGGAGATAATCCTAGTGTGGGGCAACGTTTTTTAAAAAAAATAAGAAAAAAAAAAGAAATAAGTCTGTAAATAATTCTGTAAATGAACCAATGAACGTCATGTACATACAAAAAGAAATGAAATAAGCTTACATTATTCACCTATATAAAATTGTGATTGAAACAAGTGAATTTATTTCAAATAGGCTACAGGGCAGCACATTTACACGTCAATTTTTAAAGCGAACGATAAGGTTGACATTTCCTAACTGACTACTCTGAGAAGAAATGCCGAAACAAACTCAGAGGTTCGTCTCGTGACTCGTCCGTCCAATTGTGATGTGAATTCCACGCATCATTTTGATTGATAGTCATTTTAACTGAATCCACGAAATCACAGCTTGGTCATTCTAGGTCATTCAATCATTTTAAATAACTTCGTTGTTATATTGTTGTTAGGTTAGAACTAATTTTAAAACACATAAAAATAAACTATTTCCTTTTTCCCTCAGAAACATGGACGACGTAATCCGTCGGGCTAACAACACAGAGTACGGTCTAGCCAGCGGAGTGTTCACGCGAGACGTATCGCGCGCGCTACAGTTCGCAGAGCGCATTGACGCCGGCACCGTCTTCGTCAACACGTACAACAAGACCGACGTAGCCGCACCTTTCGGTGGTTTCAAACAATCTGGATTTGGCAAGGATTTAGGTATGTATACCTTAATTACCTAAGATTTAAATACTGCAGAAATATTATGAGACTTATCCCTAAAAGAGTTACTATTGTATTGTGATATAATGATCCTCTTTCTGAGGGAGGTTACTGAACTTGGAGACAGTTTCAGGCTTAGTACCTACAGATAAAAGTAACTAGCAAAGACCTATGTAGTTTAATTATTTTAATGTTCACGGAATGGGGGCCATTCCGTGAACAAATGTATAATCCATACTTTTTTATGGGATAAGCCGGGCTGACAGTTCACCTGATGGTAAGCAATCGGCGTCGCCCATGGACACCCGTTATGGCGTTACAAGTATGTTACCGGTCTTTTGGGGATTAGGAATTTCAGGATTGTTGGAGTTTCACGGAACGGAAAGGGGGTGTTAATTGGGCCTTCGGTAACCTCGCTCAAACGACGAAACAAAAAACAAGCGTTGTTTCACGTCTGTTTTCTGTAAACTCGTGATATCACTACTCGAGTCGGCCTATTCGTGCCAAAGCATGGCTCTCCCACACTTGTAATATCCATATAAATCAAGCAATTTCATCATGCTCTCGGATTGGGGTAAAATGTAGACTAAGATACCTTAGCGAATTCGAAAGTTCTTACACAAAGCGACTCTCACTAAAGAACTTTGTGGTTGACACAATTAGTTATCAAACCAAATTAAACCTCACTTAACAAAACGTTATTTTGGTTTCAGGACAAGAAGCTCTGAACGAGTACCTCAAGACGAAAAACATCACAATCGAGTACTAGGATAAATGAACTGAATAAGGAATTATGTCAAAAAGTGCCTAAGTTTGAGGATGCCTTGCAATGTTCACATAAATACCTATTTTAGATATTTAATGTTTTGTTTTCTTATTTCATAGTTTAAAGTTGTTTGTGTAAATAAAAGGCATCCTAATTGTATATGACGTAAGATCTACTAATAATATAGCTGTAAATTATTGTAAATAATATAGTATATAAGATACGTTTTTACACAATGACTACAATGCATAATAATGTTAATTAATTATACAATTATTTGTATTTAAATTTTTATTTGTTAAAGACATTATTTTTAAATAAAATTCTTTACAATTTTACTGGATATTTTTTTCATTTAAATTACTAAAAGAATACTGATATAAACATAAATACATATTACCAAACTATGTATATTTTAGATAAACATCAGATTTTTCAACCATTCTCGCTGTGAATCTGGTTTCGGTCTCTTCCATTTTTCAAGGACCTCCTTTCTGTAAACAAGGAGTTATAATACTTTGAAATATAAGCTAAAAATATAAATTAAATGCTCTTATACACTGCTTGTATCAGATACATAAATGTGGTGTAAGCTAAAAAAGCGCTTGACTTATATTATACTGACTTGTATGCACCCAAACAATTAGATTTTTTTATATTTGACGGGTAGACGTTTGACCAATATCTCGCCTGGTGGTAAGCGATGATGCGATCTACGATGGAGCATATCGACCCATAAGCAACTTATTGTGTCCCTTCGTCCAGCATACTCACCATGGAATCCTGATATTTCATGAATGTCAAAAAACTGTTCTGAAATAGTGCTAAATAGTGCCCAAAGGAAAAAAATAGTGCTCTTGTACTTGCGAAGTTATAGCCATAGTTCGATGAGTATGCTGGACGAAGGTTTCGCCCAGCATACTCACCTCCGTCCGGAGAATCTGTATACGCTTCAAACATAATTCATACTTCAAAAAATAGTTCCCAAATAGTGCCAAACGGTGCCCAAAAAGAAAAAACAGTGCTCGAATAACTTCGGAGTTATAGGCTTCGTTCAGTGAGTATGCTGGGCGTAGGTTCTACGCCCAGCATACTCACCTCAGTGCGCGAATATCGAACGAGCTATAGGTACAATTTACGTCTCAAAAAATTGTGCTTGAAATAGTGCCCAATATCAGTCCAATTTTTGCTTGACTTTTGACCTAGAAAACCATTAAATTTGATTGTAAACTTCTACATACATTACATTGAGTACAGTCGAATACAATATTATTAACTTTCTTTCTAACAATTTTTGTCTTGTGTAAATTATTAATTGTCTATGTAAGGGAGTATTTACTTTAGAATCGCAATATTATTAATTACACATTATTTTAATAATACTTTATAATAATATGATTAAGCCTTCGCGCGTCGCATGGGACCCCGGTAGCTAGGAACAATGATTTTATATATTTTGTCTAGATCACGGCGCTTGAAGGATTAAGATATCAAATGAAGTAAATCATGCATGAAAAATAAAGTTGCTGTTATTAATGCTTACATTACAACTGACAAAATTATTCAAAATAATCATTTTCCGGATCAAGGACGGTACCACAACGTTTACGGAATTGACCTGTATTCCTCATGTGATAAAGTTCAATATAGCCTTTCATTGATGAAACTATTGGAAAGAGTTTTAAAAATTTGTATAACTATGTCACAGTACTAGTTTTGACTGGTTATAAGTTTTGCCTGCAACATATATACAAAAAGAAACTGTATAATTTCCTTTTTACAATTTTTCAAGATATTAATTTTATTGGCTGCAAATGACTGTTTTTATTCAGACAAACACACAATGCAATGAAGTAATAGACTTCATTTACGCTTAAAGTTTCATTCATTTATTATTATTTATAAAATATATAATAATGCATTTAATCGAAAGTTTTTGACATGTGAGAAAATACCATAATTATTTCCAATAACATGAAGTCTACAATTAGAAAGTTTAATATTTTTGTCCAAAAACATGTGTCGACGACTGTACCCCATTTTACGTTAGTATGTAGAAGTTTACATTAAAATTTAATGGTTTTCTAAGTCAAAAGTCAAGCAAAAATTGGACTGATATTGGGCACTATTTCAAGCACAATTTTTTGAGACGTAAATTGTACCTATAGCTCGTTCGATATTCGCGCACTGAGGTGAGCATGCTGGGCGTAGAACCTACGCCCAGCATACTCACTGAACGAAGCCTATAACTCCGAAGTTATTCGAGCACTGTTTTTTCTTTTTGGGCACCGTTTGGCACTATTTGGGAACTATTTTTTGAAGTATGAATTATGTTTGAAGCGTATACAGATTCTCCGGAGCGAGGTGAGTATGCTGGGCGAAACCTTCGTCCAGCATACTCATCGAACTATGGCTATAACTTCGCAAGTACAAGAGCACTATTTTTTTCCTTTGGGCACTATTTAGCACTATTTCAGAACAGTTTTTTGACATTCATGAAATATCAGGATTCCATGGTGAGTATGCTGGACGAAGGGACACAACTTATTCACTCGGGCCTTGAAGACACCCAGGTTATACCCTTCAGGAAACCAGAATCTGGCAAAAAATTCCACTCCTTAGCAGTACGCATAAGGAAGTTTGATGCAAAGCACTTTGTGCGTTTCGATGGGGCTTAATATACTTCATTAAAAGTTTTAAATAATCACAAGATTTACGCCTTACCGAATATCCTGACGCATTTGCACATGTCTCGGATCGCCCGCTAGAGTAGAAGAATAAACTGGAGAGTTCCCACCGTCGTAACTATTGGAACCATACCCATAGCTTGGTGTTATAGCCAGACGTAAATTACGAAGCTGTTCAGACTCTGTAGATCTACAATTAAACGTACTATAGTTTAAAAACTCCGCTTGCATTGCTGGCCGGCCTCTTCTATGGCATGCCACCATCCACCTTACGGATATCGTCACTCCAAGCTGGAGGGCGCCCTACACGTTTACCTTATCGGTATTTATACTCCAAAATATGTCTAATTGTCTACCCCAACCCCAATGGATTGGGGACATTCCGATTTTTTAAATTCTCATTATGACGGAGCCTAGATTTGCTAATTGAAAAGTGATGTGGCAATGGACCGGTCACATTTGTCGAAGAACCGATAACCGTTGGGCGTGACGACATCCGCAAGGTAGACTGGCAGTGGTTGAATGAGAAGAGCTGAACACCGAGCTCAGTGGCGTGCCATTGGAGAGGCCAAGGTATGTCTAGAAATGGACGAACACGAGCTGATAGGTAATGAAGATGTCGATGAATACTTTATTGAAATACTTATAATGAACAGTTCAAAACATACTTTTCATTTATAGGAACGGAGTTCGGAATTACATTGTGCCTGATAATATTGCTTGTGTGAAGATAATGATTTAGCTTTCTCTGAAATAAAAAAAAAACTGGTTATTAGGTAACTACTTAAATATTATTTTGGATAGCTAAATGAATCCATTTGCGAAGACGTGTATAATATGTTAGGGAAAAGCCATGAGAATCTTTGATAATAGAAAAGGCAAATGAAAAAATAATATTTTAAGTTTTCTTTATTTATTTTCATTGAATAACTTACAGACAAATTACACGTGGCACTTAGAGTACGATACATCTTTGCCTTTAGGTATAATTGGGCAAAGTACAGAACAAAAATATGGTACTAGAATTTTGACACCGGACTGTTTTACTTCGCAAACTGTTTTACAATGACTGCTGTAAACCGTCAAAAACTGCTATAAAAAATAGAAGAAAAAAATTATATACGCTGCCAAGATTATTTTCAAAGCACTGCACTTGGCTCCTCTAGATTTCGAGATATTGCAAGATTTCCTAGTGGAGTAGGATTCCTGCCTGAGCGATAACGCTCAGGCAGCAAATATGTACAAACTGGAGAATGTATATACCAGGGGGTGTGGGTGTAGTGAAAAATTCTTTAATTTTTGGCTATAAAAGAACCACTAGGTTTTAAGATATTGCAAGATATCTTATCGGACTAGGGTTTGCTGACTATTGCTTGCTCGATTAAGTAAGTACTAGTACCTAAACCGTTCTCCCGGAGATCGGCGGCTCGTAAAAAGTTGGCACTTTATTTTTGGCTAAAAATTATCAAGTTTCTCCCAATTCTCTATTAAAAGAGTCTATTTCACTATAGAATAATAAAACGCATATTATTTGTCAACTTGACGTAAAGATGGAAAACGTCAATTTGAAACACGTCAAAATCAGATGTTTATTTCTGATTTTCGAGAAGGAAAATCATAATTACGAAAAAGTTATATTGCTCTTAATTTGTTAATATAAAAAATATTATAAAATGAGCAAGGCAAAGGTGGCGTTGCGCGATATTTCGCCTGTGATGCAAAAATTTAGGGATTTTCTTCTCGGAGTGAGTATACATTGTTTTGTTTTGGTTTATTATGTAACTAGGATGGATTTAGTAAAAGCTGTGTTATTTGTTTTTGTAGAGGAAACATACGAATGCTTTACGTTTTGAGCCACTCATTGCGGCTAGGACTCAGCCACAGCCGCAGATCCCTGATGGATCCTCTCACAAGTGAGTATGAAATTATAACCTCATTTTTTGTTTTATTTAGCCATTCTTTTAATTAAACAATAAAAGTATTTAGTAGTATTATGATATAGATTTAGATAACAAATAAGAATATTTAGTAGTATTATGATAAAACTCTTTGTTTACAGTTTTATTTACTCATATCTTGTAACTAATAAATAATTCCAATTTTCAGACACGCTCAAAACTACTACTACACTCGGGATGGCCGTCGTGAAGTGGCTCCCCCTATGGATTTGACACAGCAGCTCTTATCAGCTAGCAGCGACAAGGGGTAAGGAAATAAAGTATTGTTTGAATTTAGTCTGCCAGGATATATAATATTTATTGATCCTGTTTTTTGAAAATGGTAACTTTGTCTAATTAGAATTTCACATGTAAGGCTCTGATCGAGTCATTGTGGTCAAGGGGCTGATGCCCTTATGACTTAATTCATAGGCTAGGGAATTTTCAAAGATTACTACTAAGTACGGAGCCAGATATTATTAGATTGTTACAACAGACTGGTAATTGTGACAATAAATAAATAGTTGGTGATTTATATTTTCAGAGCACCAAAGCAAGCAGCGAATGCAAGGCCTACACCGGGCCCCGTGTACCAGTGGGACAAACACTATGAATAAACAAATACATAGTAGCAAATTAAATGAATATACAATTGATGTCAGATGTTTAAGTTAAATAAAGTTTATGTAGAATAAGGGCAGGTTTTCATATTATAGTAAATACATACCTTGAAATTGCCTTGAAGTTTTTATACTAAAATATTTTAGTAAAAACTGTTGTACAATATTGGATTTCTTAGGTAAGTATTCAAGATGCTTTGAAATTTTTATTAAATTCATATAATTTACATTAAAACTAATAAGATTTAAGTTTTTTTTATGTGGGAACTTAGTGAAATTTGTCATTATCATAGCTTACTTCACTAGTTTGTTCTGAAAAAGGATTGGTCACGAAATAAAACGAAGTATTTTTTTAAATATGCATCCATGTATTTTCTACAAATAGGCAATGCATAAAACAATAACAATAATTTTAAAATTTTACAAATTCTTATATAGAAACATTAAATTTGCCAAACACTGGCCATACAAGTCAAACCATCAGACACGCAAATGACAAAAATACCTACTTTTTGGGAGTTTATTTCTACTTAACTATTTGTTAAGAGTTCCTAGTTACCTACAAAGTTTCTCACACTTGCAAACTATATACATGAGTTATAAAAGTCAACTCTACATCCCAATACTTGAATTTTATTAATATTTAACACCATTAGACTGTTTCATCACTTCCAGTTAAGTTTCCAATAGTCTAACTGGCAGTTAGGCATGGGTTACAGGGGCTCTGGCTCAAAGCAGGGGTAGAAACGGGGTGGTTTTTAGTCAGTAAGAGTCTGACACTCTCTCGCCCCTCACTCAGGCAGAAGAAGTTATTGGATGATTATTCTTAAATCAAACAGTTTATTGAAACTTTATTTTGTTCTTTATACCACGACGGTGGAAAAAAAGCACACGGACCACCTGGTGGTAAGCGGTTACTGTGGCTTATGTACGCCTGCAACACTTGGGGGCATTACATGCGTCTTGCCGACCCTTAAAAAATCTATTTACTCCCCTCTTGAAGAAGCTCATGTTGTGGCCTACTAGGGAAAACCACGGTAGTGAGTTCACAATCGGAAGGTCCGTGGGATCAACACAACCAGAAGTGTTGAAACAGACCCTTGAAATTTCATTTACATGATTATGCATTTCTTCCCTACATTACAATATATTACAATTCATTTGCTAATCAACTTTCAGATACGATATGGATACATTTCAAATTCTATATTTTAAAATACTGGTTAAATTCATATAATATGTACTATAAATTAGCTGCATAATGTATGAATAACTTCATTGGCTATATAACTGGCTATAATTGGCCTGGCTCTTGTAGCTATACCAATCCAGGTCAATCCTCAACCCCACAAGATGATTGTAAACTACTTGTATTATACTGAAATAATTATGATTTCATTGAAGATAATATCTTATGTGTGGTATGATTGTTCTACACTTACCAACTTATCTATTCAGAAGAGATATAATAATAATATGATACCTATTTAGAGAAAATATAAAAGTGTGGGATAGCTATGCTTCGGCAGGAATAGGCCGGCTCGACAGGAGTGATACCAGAACCTCGACAGGCCTCACAGAAAACCGACGTGAAGCAACATCGTGTGAGTGAGGTTGCTGGAAGCTTAATTACACCCTCCTCCTGAATCCTCAACAATCCTCAAATTCCGATGGAAAATTGATAAACATATATTTTTTTAATTATCACTCTCCACCTCAAAATAATTGACTGGTCACAAACTGGATTACGACTACATTTATGATATGAAATCCATATTAAACTACAATAAAAAAGAAGGAAGAAATTACTGAATTTGAAGAATTACATATGACCAAATATATAAGTTGAGAAGCTAAACAATCACATTAAATACTAATTCACTCTACTACATAATCATATTAATCGGAACTTTCATAAAATTGCATACAACATTGAATGGAGAACTACAATAATCACCATTATTCATTACATGTCTTATATCCAATATACATCTCTACTGAACTATTTTTCATCTACTGCTTAGCTCACCAATATTCGAGTTAAGACCAGTTTTAATAATAACCTATCGGTAGACTTAGGTACTAAAGATAGAATATTACAAATTATGTCAAACTTCTATCTTTAGTAACCATTTAAGGATAACATTTTTGTACTCACCAAAAGGCCATGTTCAACTATAACAACAAACAGGACCTCATTTACTACGTCAGCGCCATCTAGTAAGAGCAAAAACGATACCTCTCAATCTATCTACAATCTACCGATAAACAGCCAATCGAAACTGGTCTATAGTAGCTTCTAACTTGTTAATTACACTCACTGTCCAATCTCACAGTCACTCAGGCAACACTGACACTTCGCGATCTTCGCATGGAATGAGGAGTTGTTTTTTAAAAGCTTCAATCATCACTTGAGTCGGTGGTGTCTGGGGTGCGTATATGCATAGTGGAGAAGGTGCCGAAGCTGAACGCTCTTTTCCTCGGAGGCCGACGCGACCTGTACTTAAACTTTTGTCATTTATCGTCTCCATGTACTTGTTTTCTGAACTGCATGGCGTCTCCGTAAGCTTTCTTGACGGCCTTACGGTCCGTTGGTTTTCGAGATTCGACTAGTTTTGCCTGGTCCACGCTCTTGTCGAGGCCTAGAGGTTCCAGTTTGTTTGGAGGTAGCCACTGCCAAGTTCGCTTGACGTCGAAGAATAGTACAAGGTACAGTATGGGCTCGTGTGCGTGATTCTTCTTGAGGTTTAGCACGTCCTGCGGTGGCACTGGTAACGGTACTCCGTTGTAGATGAATCCTTTTGGTATTTTTGGGTCGATTATTAGGGCCGGATACCAGGGGTAGCCTCTGTGAAGAGTTATTTGTATTAGTATTCAAGAGTACAAGAATTGAGAGTGTAAACTGATATAAATTCTATAACCACTTTTTTGATGAAATGATAAAAATACTGAAATATTTTAATTTTCTTCTAACATAATAAGTAATGAATTAATGAGTGTTAATATAAAATGAACTTACTGTTGCCTGAATACCGACCTGCATTTAGCCCAGACAAGTTGGAGCGGCTCTAGTTGTAAAGTCGACGCCTGCGCACATTTGACCGGTGTTTTTGACGTTGAAGACCTTGTTCCTCGACCCTACGTAATGAAAACATTATTTTAATGCCAAAATCTAAGACTGGATACACCATGACTGATTGCATTTAATGCATAATTATTATTTCAAGTCAAATTAGAAACTGATTGCCTCGTTGGTCGAGTGGTCGCAAGTGCGACTGCAGGAGCTGGTCAGGGCTGGCAGGTCTCAGGTTGTTTTTAAAAAAAATCTCAGTAGCAGCACGGAGTCTGGTATTATGCCCGGTATATTGCAATATGCTCACCCCCTATTACATGGGACTCGTAACATAAAAAGTGAAAAGTGGGTGTTACACCTTTGCCTACCCCTTAGAGAAAAAAAGGCGTGATAATGTATTATGTTAAATTAGAAACACGAGAATAGGAATTAGCTATCATGTTTGTGTCTTGACATTCTTCCCAGTGAATAATATAAATGAAAATCTAAGAATTTATTTATGCAT